CAAGAGGAGGGGGGGGGTTGAGGGAACCCCACAGGAAGTGAGTACATTGTGTTACACACACAGCGATCTATACCGTTGTCGGTTTGGTTGGGATTCCGCGTTTGATGGTGCCTGTGATAAAGGATGGATTATGGGTGGGGGGGTTTCTCTCCCTCCGCAGGGGGAAGGAGGAGGGGATGGAATACCCGGATAGCTCATGACTTATTGTACTTCAGCGAAGTCCCTTTTCTCCCATATCTATCTACTTTCACATAGCGACTCCTGTTTTTTTGAGTATTCATGGTAGCGTGAGGTATTACTTGATTCATATCTATTTACAAATACCAAAAAAAATTATTCATAGCAAACATTTCATAAAAGGGTCTGTACACAAATAAATTTTTATCTCCTCAAAAAAATAGCTAGTTGGTATAGTAATTTTCCATAGAGACAATTTCCATAGAACGAAAATCGCTGAAAGCTTTTCTCCCATTGTTTCATAGAACTACTTGCTGATTGATTACGGTGGTAAGGTAGTGTTCATTAGCTTGGCATTTTATCCACTGTCAACTCATTCTTATTTCATAAAACATGTTTCCATTAACGCCATTCCTGAGACTGCGTGCCGTGCGCACATTTATGCAGCTTAGAGAGGCGGCTACACCATTTTCAGGGGAAACGGCCATCACGAATCCCAGGGCTCTGTCTGAGCGATCCACGGACGTCGCGCGAGCATGTCGTATTGCTACCTCCCTTTTAAAGCATCATTTTCCACAACAGGATTTACCAAGCCTGAAAGGAAATGCAGAAAACTCTGCGAAAGGTAACAACGAGAATGCGGCGGTTGATCGTGTACAAAAAGCCCATGTTTGGGCAGAAGCTTCTGGAAAAGCGGCGTATCTTACACATGTGGCTCATCAGCGGCGATTTGACGCGTCAAGTTCGACAGATCTTGTCAAGATGACGAACCGCACCTGGGCATCTTGGGATACGCGAAAAAAAGTGAAGTGGGTACTGGCTGCCCCTCAAGGCCGACGTGCGCTGCGGTTCCTGGCTGACACTGATCCCGGCAGGACCCCCGAAAAAGGCCTCGGATCGGCTCGCGGTAGGCCACCGCGGTTGGGGAAAAAAAAGAACCAATCCCTCCTCCCACCCCGCAGTCCGAGTGCGGCGGCGGTGTCGTGTAAGCCGTCCAAGCGCCGCCACCTCACGCGGCAGGAATGGGATCGCTCACCACCGCCCCACGCCACGGAGGGGCCTTCTGCAGGAAAACAAGGCGTCTTTGACGCCGCCGCGACCGCTGGCGCCTCGCTCGAGCCCCCCCACGACCTTAGCGTGCCGCGGCTGCGGCAGCGCAACCGGTGGAAACAGAAGCTGAACCAAATGCTCGGCCGAAACGACAGCCGGACTTTCCAGGGCACCATCAAGGAACACCAACAAGAGTATGAAGACATTCCAGCCTCCGCCCAACCCGTCCAGGAGGCCTCCAAGGCGTCAAACACGGATATCTTTCTGAATTTCTGCGATGGTATGAATATCGGCAGCGCGCGGAAAGCCTATGTCCTACAAAAAATGATACCCTTCTTGGATTCGAACGAACGCGACGTCGACAATAACAGTGTGTCGCCCCTTTCCTTGGCGGAAGTCAAGGCAACAGCCCAAAGATTTAGTCAAGAGTTTGATCAATATCGTAAAGATATTCTAAAAGCTTCTGGGACTACTTTAGCTGTTCAAGCGTACGAAAAGGCTCTTATTGATGAAGAACTCGCGCAAGTTAGATGTAAACTAGATCGTTTTCAGGACAAAGTTCCTCTTTTGCAACGCATTGCTAACCTGTGTATGGGTCATTAACGGAAGAGCGTCTGTGAACACCTGTGCGTTTTTTTTTGTGTATGTACACAAGACGATAATGTTCACTACTATTCCATTCACAGTACGCTTCTTTTAAAAATAGAAAGGAATGAAACTAGGCATGGTCGATCTTTCTCTCTCTTCCTTTTAGGTTCGACTTTGGTTGCTGTTTACTTAATTAGTTCAGATTCAAACTGCATTAAGCGAATCGGTTCAAAAATAATTCAAAATACGTCAACTATCTGTTGAAATAGAAAACAACCTGCATTACAAATCAAGCATGCCTTTGCTTGAGCAATATTTTTGAGGCATACTCCCCCTATTACATTATTGTTTGACTTAATAGGTGGCAATTAAACTCCCCAAGTTATCGAAGAATGGACATATGTGAAAATATATTCAGTTCTTCGGGTTGAAAGAGGGAGAGGATAGTTTTATCTTCGTTATTGCTTTGTATGTATGTGTACACACACAGAAAATGCTGTTCGAGTGAGCTTCAGGTAATAGACAAAGGAACACGTACATATTTCTCAATTATACAAATGGCATAGCGGAAACTGAATCTTTTTCAGTTTTTTCCTCTTGCTCTTGAAATTGCACATCCTCTTTCCCTATACTCATGCAGTATATATGTGAATGTTAAATGAACTAAGTCTTCTTCTTTTTGTAATATCTAGCATTTTATAGGTCTCCCCGCACATACATTCACACGTGAAAAAAAAAGGGAGTCATGACTACAGCTAGTGAAGCCATTGAGTGGAAGACATCATCTATGGGCGAGATTAGATCTTCAATAAACATGATTGGTGATTTACTGAATCACGGTCGTGAGCTGATCTATAGCGATGAAATACAAAGCAATCCCGAGGGCACTAGCATTCCAGAAGTTCGTCAAGCAAAGCAACGAGGGTTGAAGATAAACAGCGCACACCATGCTACAACGGGCAAACAAGGTAATCATTCTTCTTCCAAGCACAAGGAAGCCCTGTTTAATACGCAAAGAACGCATGCCAAAGGCGAGCATTTGGAGCCTACGAAAACAGCCCCAAGAAACAGCTTGAATGTTGCCGTTGCCTCTGCAAAACACATCAAGACAAAAAAAGTAACCAATACTATCAGTAATACGCGACAAAGCACTTTGGGATTGGAAAAAAATCGACCTTTATTAGGTGTGGAGCAGATCGCACAGGCGCGGATGGAGGGGAAGAAGATTCACAGCATTGAGGTTGGTATCACCGACGACGACATCGTGAATGATCTTTCTCTAGAAGAACTTAAAACTCGAGTTCGTCTCGAAATGGAGGAATACTTTTGCAACACTCCGAGCATATTCAAAAAAATGGCACGTAAAATCATCGTACCTTCTAAGGTTTCCACTAAAGCTTCGAACTTCTCAGCTTTACAGGAGGTCACAGAGCGTCTGTCAACAAACATCAATGATACCTCTAGTACAATGAAAGAAGAACAGCTAGCGTTGTCCTTCAAGCGGCATTCGTCGTGGAAAAAAACCATCGTAGCCCATAAAGGGCATGCCTCCATCGGGAAGCGATTATATGACACCGAACCCCATGAAGATAAATCCCATGGACAGACAAGGCGCCCCGAAACTGACCAGGCACAGTTGTCCGACAAACGCAACAGCGGTGCTTCGCGCAAGAGCACCCTGCGGAGTAGTTGGGGGCGTGTGTCGATCACCTCCACAACGCCTGACCAAACCAGGTCCCTGGCAACGGTACAACAAAATGAGGCGTGGAACCCACTAGAAAACCACGACATCCCTGCGAGGCGTCGAGCCTCGGTCACTCCCCTAAGGTTGGATATGCTAAGAGGGTAATATGTATACAACGGTTTTGCATGCACGAGCTTTGACTTTTTTTTTTGAGCAATGGATTCAGCCATTGGGAAGGGAACTGAGATTGTAGCATACATTTTTCGGGTTCACTAAATAATGGATCACTGGATGTTTTTTATTTTTGGAAGGGCACACTTGTGCCAGTCGCATTTATTATGAAAAAAATTGCTAGATCCAGCCCTTCGCCTCAAGAAGGAGTAAAACTAAACATGGGCCAGCGCGACCCCATAGAGATGAGTTATTCGTCCCTCCATTTCTCACACCATCAAATGTATCAATTATATCACTCCACACCCGCTTCAAGCATGCCACACAAAATAGGGGTTTGTGGCAAGTGGGGGGAAAGGGGACGTACACCTGTTGACCAAGGGAAGGAGGATTTCCACTTACCCTCCCCACACAAGGCGGGATAACAATTCGATTGGCATAAAGGTAACAAGAATATGATGCCCAGTTTCAGAAAACTAATATCCTAGATATTTTTATCTAATTTTATTTGAAATCTCCCCCTTCATATTTTTCTTACATTCTAACCTAAAGTTTCTAGCAAGTGCTCTGTAACAATAAGGCATTATCATTTTTTTCACGTGTCGCCAAAAGTGACAAAGCAGGTCCCGAATCGCGGGAGAGGGCTACCCAGCAGCCGGTTATGCACCTGCTCTGGAGTCAGCCTCAGGTTGCTGGGTATTAGGTTAGCGGGGACGGCGTACACTGTGTAGTTGACGTAGGCGCCGGTCGAGTTCGTCCACATCGACGTCGGCATGATCTGATAGTGCGATTGATCGGCATGTAAGGCATTCTGGAGGTCCATCGGCATATACTTTAGGACCTCGTCTGGTTCCTGAAACACGTTTTCCTTTGATATCAATGGTTTTGAGATGGTCAAGTACAACTCCCACAATTTGATGGGTCGGCTGATGGCAATCGTGGTGTTGTCTATGTAGAGTTCAGTACTCATATAGATATCAATTGCCTTGACGTGCTGTTCAAAGGTAGTGTACACCAGCTTATTCAGGAAGGTAAGGTCAGAACTGATAAATGCATTGCAGAACTCTTCTAGTGGCATAGTTTCAGAGTAATCTGTAATAAAGACTTTGAGGCCGAGGCCGTCGCATTTTAAAAAATAGGGCTTATCAACTGCAGAATGCTGGGCGATGTTCGGCGCTATACCAACCTTGATATGACCTCCAGGCACGATACGTTTTATATCTTCATATATAGCATCCCAGAATGAAAGCACATCAATGGTCTCCCACAGGACTGCAGTGCCGTTGATCCAGATAAAACCATCTGCTACTCTATCAAAAGTTGCAGAGGCTCCAAATGTAGTGAGCAACAAAAAAAAGGCAAAGTAAATTAGCGAGGTTTCGGCCTGGCGGTGCGGTTGGCCCCCCAGCAACGCCATCAGGTTAGATAAACAGACTGATGGAAAATGTAGCGATGAACGTGGGGTGGGGTGGGACTCAATAATATTAACTCTGTGTTGCGTTTACGCTTAAAAACTAGTGCGGTAGACTCTTTTAGTGGTCAAAAATGCCTTCACAAGATGGTTAGGGGAGAAAAGGTTTCGTGGAGTGGCTACGCACAGTCGCGCTAGAATCTGAAAGAAAGCTTTAACACCAACACAACATAGCTGTTTTTAACATTAGCGAATTTGCGCAGAAATAATTTAGCTTACATACTTCCTTAATCGTCCACATTGATAGAAGGCAATCTTTACACACGTACGCATCCTCACCTCGCTTCACTTACATTTCGCCGCTTGCACACCAATGAGGAAGCAGCATCCATTTACGATGAGCGTCATCATTCACAGGCCAACGCTACGGCGGCTGAGGCAAGCATAACGTACGCAAACAAGGTCACGCTTTCCACACGCTGAGCCAATTCCTCCGAGTGAAGCGAAAGTGATTTCGTAAACACGAGTGATCATGTTCCTAGGGACCACTTCCGCCAACATACCGTTGCTTTCTGGGCTCCCTCGC